GACCAACTTCTTTCAAATAGCAGACAGATATCTCAGCTACGATGACTTAATTGTGGTGGATAATGCACATCAGTAGGCAGAAATAGGCAAGCTCACACCGGTAGATTAACTATCCAATACCCAGTCAAAACTCGTTTGTCATCCCTGCTTCTGATCAATTTCTATTCCCATTTCATCTTCTATTACCTTGTCAACATCCTGAGTGACTCCCCTGTCAACTCTGTCTACCTGCCTGGCCACCAGATCAACCACCTGACTGGCCTAACCAGCCACTTGGCCAGTCACTTCTCTGTCTGGAATTAGAAGATGTGTCTCCATCATAATAGTCTTCAATTTTTGGTAGTTTGGCCAGCACTGAGAGTATCCAGTCTGAATCACGCCACTCTGCCTGTAATCTTTCTGACTTGGTTGTGGGAACTTCAAAGTAAACACCCATATTTCCTTCTAGGAGGCACATTCTGGTAATCTGGGACACAGCATTGCTCTATCCAGCTTTCTGTTAAATTCTTTCCAAGGACAACTAACATCCTGTATTTACTCTAGGCTTTCCAGAGTCATGATCACAAACCCCTTATTAAAGTTGATCAAAGATTGTGGTTTAAAGCTCGATGTACCAGAAATGTGGGCTAATGCTGCAGCCACTGCCCCTTTCTCTGAGCTCACGGCCAGAAAAAAATCAACAGCAGCATAAGAATCGAAGCCAGAGACCTGATGGTATCCATGCTTTTAGATTTAACTAAATCCACTGTAGAAGGAACCACATACATGTTTAAAAGTAATACCTGCTTTTTGTTCCACATAACTTAGTTAACCTCTTTCTCTTGGTCGATAAAAACATATACAAATCCCTGTCTGGCTAGCTCTACCTGTGCATCCAGAGTGATGGATATAGGACTTAATATCCTGAGGAGGAGAACTTTGAATCACCAGGTTTACCTCAAGGGTCTCCAAACCATGGGCAGCCATGCTGGTTGCCACCAAAATTTTAAAACTACGTTCTTTGAAACCTTTCAGTGTAATTTCTTTGTAACTGTGCAATGTCACCATGTAAACACTGGGCATTCTGCTTTGTGTGTGGATTCATAGCCATTTCAGTTACATTCTTGTTGGTCTCACAGACAATAACAGCCCTCCCTTTAGAACCACTGTAGATTTGAAGGACATCTCCAATAACTGCTGGCCTCTGAGACCAAAGACACTGATGGCCAAATGTTCCACAGTAGTTGCAGACTTTTGAGTCATTTTTCCAACAAGGCCAACCTGTTCGTAACTGGATTTCATGTAATCTTTTTTGCAACTTTGTATATCCACTGTGGGCAAGTTGCAGAAAAAAGTAAAGTCTGAGGATTGTATTCAGAATCAGTTTTGTAGGATTCAGGAATAATATCTTCAACTTGTTCAGCAAAACCTAAATCTAACATTTGATCCACTTCATCAAGCACAACATGGCATACTTTTAAAACATCCAATCGACCACTCT